GCGCTGAGCGAGTCCCTGGGAGACCCCTGCGAGACCGCGTCCTTCTTGCCAGGAGCCTCCTGCACTTCCAGCCCAAACTCTCCCCAGCTGTTTTCACTCCTGGATCTGAGCGCTCAGGAGCAGGAAACTCCTGCGGAGAGGAGCATTTCACAGGGTCACGGGCCTTTGTGTGCAGAAGACACTATGGAAGTGAGCGGCCAGCCTTTTAAAGTTGTCAGGCACAGCCCACCAGTCACGCTCGGCTCCCCTCACGTGGTGAATGGTTTGGGACATGACCAGCTGCATGACAAAAACCCAGACAGACAAGAAACAAAGGCAGACACCACTGAAAACGTGTACCCCCCCTTCAGTGTGGACATCCCAAAGAACGGAGAGTCTGTTTTGGCAGACCTCCACATCTCGGAGAGTCAAGACCTGGATGACTTGCTGCAGAAACGAAAAATGACCTCCAGGAGGCCCATCATGGCCTGGTTTAAAGAGATCAATAAAAATAGCCAAGGTTCACACGGACAGAGCAAACCAGAGAAGGACTGCCCCACCGTGCCAGCCAGAAGTCCCAACTCCAAAATTCAGATGTTGAGCTCAAACCACAAAAAGGGGGTTGCCATACCTAACAGCCCTCCTCCGCTGAAAATCAATCTTGAAAATAAAGATTCAACTAAAAAGGGTTCGGTGGAAACACTTTTAAGTAACTGTCAGAAACCCAAGTGCGGCCCGAAGCTGAGGAGACTCAGCATCAAAAGCAAAAGCAAAGTCGGCTCTGAGGCCCCTGCTGCTAATCCTGCTAAGGCTGGTGGGGCAGACCACAGGAAATCCTTAATTTCACCCCAGACCTCCCACAGAATGCTTTCCAAGGGAGCGTCACACCCGTTTCACATAGCTGACCAAGAAGAACATGACAGAAACACCACAGACACCCCCCAGGCTCCCCAGTGTGTGCTGGAGAGCAGGCCACCCCCGGCTGCCTCTGGGTCACTGAAGGCCTCCGCATCAGACACGAGCATCAGCACATTCGTTTCCCCCCTGACCTCCCCAAAGACGCTTCCTGAACAAGGCACGTATAACCGGTTCCATGCAGCTGTCCACTCAGAATCCAACAGAAGTTGCCCAGCGACCCCCATGTCTCCCAGGTGTGGACCAGAGGGCAAGGCACCCTGTGCTGTCTCTGGGCTGGTGAGTCCCGCAGCGTCCAGGAGCAGTGTGTCCCTGGCAGGGGTCAGACAGAGTGAGCCACGCACATCCAGTCAGATGGTCTCAGTGTCCGATGCAGCCCCACCCAGGGGGACCAGCGAAAAAGGAAGCAAGAGAATTGCTAGTGATCCCCTGGAAAGAACAAACCAGCTGAAAATAGTTGAGATTTCTTCTGAAAGAATGCCAAAGAATGCATGTGGTGACAAGCCAGCTGAAAGTGACAGACAGGGAGGGTTCTTGGCCCAGGGCAACTGTCAGGAGAAGAGTAAAATCAGATTCCACCAGGCAGTGGAATCATCCCCAAATCATCCATCCTCACTCGCGCCTCCTGCCCCCCAGGTGGAGCAGGAAATGCAACGATCCTTCAGTGTGGCCAGACTGGCTTCCTCCTCCTCCTCCCCTCAACTGCCCGCTAAAAAGGCAGATCCCTCCCAGGGAAGATCAAGCCTGATGTCAGACTCCCTTGGGATGCCCAAGAATGACATACCAATGGCCCCTGCTGGGGAGGACCATCCCTACTTCACCCCAAGGCCAGCCACCAGGACCTACTCCATGCCAGCCCAGTTCTCAAGCCATTTCGGACGGGAGAGTCATTCCCCGCACAGCCCTGGTCGCTCCCCTAGGAATGGCCAGGTCCCTGTAACTAGCACGGGTCTCCCTGAGGCAAAGGCATCCAAAGGCAGTATTCTCAGCCTGGCCAATGGACAGGCTGTATATAGTGTCAAGCCTCTGCAGGAAACGTCAAAGAATGTCCCAACCATCGAGGAAGGCGACATCACCGCCGTCCAGGAGACAAGCTGCCTGGTCACAGACAAAATCAAAGTCACCAGGAGGCATTACTACTATGAGCAGAACTGGCCCCATGAATCTACCTCATTTTTCTCTGTGAAACAGAGGATCAAGTCTTTTGAGAACCTGGCCAATTCTGACCGGCCCACCACCAAGTCCGGGGCATCCCCATTTTTATCTGTAAGCTCCAAGCCTCCCATTGGCAGGCGGTCATCTGGCAGCATCCCTTCAGGGAGCCTTGGCTACCCAGGTGACGCAGCAGCGAGGTCACTGAGACGCAGCTTGAGTTCCTGCAGCGAAAGCCAAAGTGAATCTGGCGCTCTTCTCCCTCAGATGACCAAGTCCCCGTCTAGCATGACTTTGATTGTCTCCCGGCAGAATCCACCAGAGACCAGGAACAAGGTTCCAGACTCAGACCAAAAGAAATCGCTTGTTCCTCTGGGAATCCCCACCCCAACCGTGACTCCAGCCTCTCCCATCAAGAAGAACAAGTCCTCGGTGCGCCACGCCCAGCCCTCCCCTGTGTCCCGCTCTAAGCTGCAGGAACTGAGAGCCTTGAGCATGCCTGACCTTGACAAGCTCTGCAGCAGCGAGGACTACCCCACAGCGCCCTCCGCCATGCTCTTCAAAACCCAGCTAGAGATCATCCCCAGGAGGTCACTGGGCTCCCCCAGTGGCTCCCCAACTGCAGGCCTTCCTGGCCTTGATGGACCGGCCACCCTTTCCTGTCCAGGGAAGGGTGGAAACAGGGCCTGTCCAGGAAGCAGCAGCCCTACAGCCAGTGAGCCTGCAGCACCCAGTTCAGCCAACGAAGTGGGTAAAACCACCCAGGACCTGCCTTCCGGAAAAAGCTGGTCAGTTAAGTAAGTATCTACCCTCCCTTTTGTTTAAATAAACTTACATTATTTTGGAATAGTTTTTAAGTTCATATGAAAGTTGCCAAGGTAGTACAGGAAGCTCCCATGTACCTCTCGCCCAGCTCTAACTGTTGTTAATGGTCCATTTGTTGAAAGTAAGAAATTAACATTGAGCAATTCTATTAACCAAACTACAAAGTCTATTCAGATTCCGCTAAATAAATTCCACTAATGTCCCTTTTCTATTCCAGGATCCAATCCAGAGTACCACATTGCATTTAGCCTCCTCTGTTTTCAATATGGTTTTGGGAAACAAGTACCTGCAGGGAAGAGTTTGTCAAAATGCTGCTCCGAGTAGCACATTCCCCAGGCATGAGCAAAAGCAACCTGCAAGGGAGATGGGAAGGAAGAGAAGGCTGCACCTGAGGGGGGAACCTGGTCCATGGAAAGTGACTGCAGTTCAATGGGAATTTCCAGCATATTTTAAATGTTTCACCTGAGCCTACATATTAAATATTTTACATGTCAGAGTGTCCTATTAAACCCCTGTATCCATCCCCTAACATCTTGGAGGAATCCCTGAACCCAGAGCACTCCTATTGCTATTGTCAAAAATTGTCCCAATAATTGTCAATGTGAAGGACATTCCTGCTCAGCATTCAGGGCCCTTAGTTCGGAGTGGGAGTTACAACTAGAAGAAAACATAAGCAGCAGCACCTCAGGAAATAACTGCCATATATTTGAATAGCATTCATTTCAAATGCATCCTTAGAAAATGGAAAAATTGCTTCCTTCTTTAATGTTTTCCAAATATATTTGTTATTTAGTTTGGATCAACTTGAAGTCTCAGTGGGGGACCAGCAGAGATTACAGGCTGTTTTGTCATCGGTGGGATCAAAATCTTCCACCCTCACTCTCATTCAGGAAGCGAAAGCACAATCAGAGGTGAGTGGAATGCAGAGGGTGCACAAAAATGGCAGCAGCATTAGTGGCCAGGTGCCCGTCGCCGGCTCTGACAGCCAAGGAGGGTGCGCCTGGTCCTGGAAGGCCTGGCTGGGCTGGGAATTCTACAGCTCAGTCGGACTCTTGCCTCGTTTGCTGCCAGCTGGCTTCAGAAGCTAGACCTTCATGGAAAGTTCACATGCCATATTGGTGTCACTGCTATTTTAATTCCCTGATAGCAAGTTACCACCTTTCCCACCCCCAGCTTTGGAGTTTGTCTGCAGAGGGTCTTCTAAGCAGGACTATGAAATGCTTCCAATGACCAAAAGTCCCTCCAGCCACTTCACTGTGCACATAAACTGGTGAAGGGTGCCACCTGCAGGTAAAAGAAACAGTTACACCAACACAGCCCTCCTTATATCCTGAGGCCTAGGAGTTTGGGAACCCCTGTATAAAACAAAGGAGCTAATTACAAATAAAGTCTTTAAATGAATCGGATGTAACAATAACAAAAGAGAGGATGGCATCACATATAGAATACTACTCTGAAGAATAAAAGCTTCTCAGGACTGTTCATAGAAATTTGAAACCTAAGAGTTGAATATTAGGAAAATGCAAATATGAACAAATTTTTCTTTCCTGGTAATGTATTTGGCTTACTAACTTCATCCCCAAACACTGTTCTAGAAATTAAAACATTACTCAAAGGATGCTATTTGAGGTTTATTATCTAAGTAACAGTCTTGCCTTTATTTTTTTTATTTTATTTTTTTTTTGGCCATACTGGGGATTGAACCCAAGGGTGCTCTACCACTGAGCCACACACCCCAGCCCTTTTTAGTTTTTGAGACGGTGTCCTGGTAAGTTACCCAGGCTGGCCTTGAATTAGCAATCCTCCTGCCTCAGCTTCCTAAGTGGCTAGGGTTCCAGGCATATGCCACCCCACCAAGCCAGCTCTGGCAGCTAATAAGCTGGCAGGGGGAAGAGGGGAGATGATACCCTTTTAGTTTCACCTCCCTTCAGAGTCTCAGCCCACTGGTTTGGGTGTGTGCAGTTAGGAAACACCTGGGCACCAAGCAGTTTTCACTTTCAGTGAAAGGAAGTAGTCCAACTCTCGATGCCTTCTTGGACTTGTCACTATAGTAAGCAAGCATCTCATGCAGGAACAGTCTCAGATCTCTATCAAGGTGGGAAGGGTGGGGTCACACTCAGCCAGGACCCTCTGCTCCGAACATTTTATTTATAGTGTTAGATAATGTGGAGAAAGAGAAAAACAGTCTCAGCCAGCCTCATACACCAGGTGCCCATTTCAGGAACCAGAAATACAGTGGTGACTTTTTCTGTGGACAGGATGCCCAGTGCTGCCCTTGCAGCCATCGTCTGAGGCCTCCCTCCCTCTGGTTTGATATACATCCCCAGTGTGGCTTGGTGTTGAAGATCAAGCCTACTTTCATCAGAATACAGCTCTCTCGCGCGTTCTCTCTGTCTCGCTCTCTCTCGCTCTCTCTCTCACTCTCCCCGGCTCCTTCCCCCTTGTTTTCTTATTGTGTTCCCAAGCTGATTTCAGAGAGGAGGGGTGAGCAGAGATCGCCTCATTCTGCCATCTTCACACTAGCAGTTTTCTGCCTTGCTTTTTTTCCAGTGAGTATGGTTTGCAGGTGCTAAAAATGGAACTGTACAAAACTACTTCACAGCCTTTGGTGGTGCTGTGATGAGAGAGGTCATCTCACAACCATCCCTAGTCTTCTGACTTCAGCACACGCAAGCCTTGAAGAGCACTTCATGGTTCATCTAGCTTCCGGGGTGCTGTGCTGAGCTTCTCAAGCAAAATTTGGCCAGTTAGCCAGCTTCTAGCACACTGGTATCCTCACACACCCTGGAAAAAAACAATTTGAATGAATTAAAATATTGTTGACAACAAGTACTGCATTATAGGAGCTCTATCTTCAAATGTTCTGTCGCTTTGTGGTTAAATACCTGGGAAATATTCATATTCCATATTCATATTTCTTTACCTTCCAGAAGCTACACAAAAATCATTTACTGCCCACATGTTTCCGTTTTTGTTTAGAAGTCCAGTAGACATCCTTCTGTCTACTGATGTGCGCTTGGGCACAGGTATGGCTGAAGGACATTCTGGTATCAGCACATGTGCCTTGGTCCAAATCAGCTTCTTAGGAGAGAGAGAAAATGCTTGGAAATTAGCCCTTGAGACTTCCTAACAGGACCAAACACTTTCTTCTACCAGGTTCTCTCCCTTGCTGTTATAGAGTTGGTCTTCTGTCTCAGCTGTTTTCTTTCATCAAATCCATCTTTAAGGGTTATTTTTAGACTCTTGTTCTAGTGCTATACCTTGAAGTGATGGATTATCAATCACTTCATAAGAAAAAACAATGCAGAGCTTTAAAATGTTGCTGAATCACATGTCACATGTGGGTGAAGGAACTAAGTTCATAATAATTAGCCCAGCCAGTTTATTTATTTTAAAATCTTTTATTCCAAAAATATCTTTGGATGCGCAAGACTGGGACAGTCTTCTGGTACTTAGTCCTACGACACTACTAAGAATGCTTTAGTCTCAATATCAGTTGAGTATTAGTTTTAATATAGTTTTTAGGTATTTCCTTCTTTCCTTCCCAGGGATTGAACCCAGAGGTGCTCTACCACTGAACTACAGGGTTTGTTTTGAGACAAGGTCTGACTGAGTTGCAGTGGCCAGAAGTTAGGGACCTTTCTGCCTCAGCCTTCCAAGTCACTGTGATTATAGGTGTCCACCACCACCCCCAGAAACATACTTTATTTTTTATATTCTGAGTATTTTTTGACTGCTAGTTAATTTGCACCTGAAATCCAGTAACCGAACGTGCCAGAAGTGAGCATATAAAACACAAGGCCTCTGTCACTTAATCTTTTTTTGCGGCTGTTGAAATTGGCTTTGCTAAATGTAGATGTAAAGAATTCTAGAATAAGGAATTCCCTTCAAGGTGAAAGTCTGTGCTATCATCAGATTTAGGAAGATACAATCTGGTGCCTCAAATGGCTTGAAAACGTGGGAATGCTTAATGGCCCCTGCCCACATCCTCGTTCATGTTCACCTTCCCAGGGGTTCCACAGCTACAGCATAGACCCTCAGAACTTTCCACTTAAGCACTACCTAGAGGGGTGCAGGTTGAGCTGGGGACTGCTCGGACATGTCTGTGTGAGCTGGGGAATCACTGAGGCCTGGGATGGGCCCCTACAGGAGGATTTAAGTTGGAGCTTCTCATTCTTGGCACTGGGAATATACAGTAAATTGTTTTCCTGTTTCTCTTAACTAGAATAAAGAAGATATTTGCTTCATAGTCTTGAATAAAAAAGAAGGCTCAGGTTTGGGATTCAGTGTGGCAGGAGGGACAGATGTGGAGCCAAAATCAATCATGGTAAGTGACAGTGCCATTAGGATACAGATTGAACAGGTTACAGATTCTAACATTCAAAGGCTACTGAGTTGTGTTAGCTACTACTTACACAGAAATGGAAACATGGAGGAAGTAGTTCATAGTATTTTCATTGACAAAGAAGACTGACATATGTCTGACATGTAGAGACCACATGTCAATTCATATAAGCACAATTATCTATATCCTTAAAACTTGCCTAACTATCTTATTTAAGCACTAGAAAAACTTGAGGATCAACTGACCTAACTTAAATTCACTTCTAAAATTACTTCTTTCCAAAGAATAATAATGTAAGATATTGTCACTCAGAGGCCTCGAGATCATGAAGGCCACTTTCATTGGTCTCATTTGTCCTTGTATTCCTGTTACCTCACGGATGCCACACACATTAGACACTAACAAAAAGTTGAGTAAAAAATATGTGCTGGTATTGACATTTGTAATTCCACGTCCCGCACTGAATGATTTTGATCAACTTAAATATTTGTCATGAGTAAGAAAACTTGTCATGAGGAACTTGTCTTCACTACAGAGTAGCAGTTGCTGTCTTGGCATCCCTGGAGGTATGAATGGATTCTAGCTTTTGCTCCCCTTTCCTTTCTCCTTTCCAGGTCCACAGGGTGTTTTCTCAGGGGGCGGCTTCTCAGGAAGGTTCTGTGAACCGAGGGGATTTCCTTCTCTCCATCAATGGCACCTCGTTGGCTGGCTTAGCCCACGGAGACGTCTTGAAGGTTCTGCATCAGGCACAGCTGCACAGACATGTCCTCATGGTCCTCAAGAAAGGGAATGAACAGCCCAGATCCTCCTCCAGGCAGGAGCCTCCCATGGCCAATGGAAAGGGTTCGCTTTCCAGAAAGACCATGTCTCTGGAGCCTGGAACTGGTAAGATATCATCAGTTCAATGACCAGCATTCTGGTGAGACATTAAAAAAATAATGGCCAGTTCCTGAATCAGAAAAAGTGAATGTAGTGAAATATAGTGTTTGGGGATGCTTCCTGCAAAAGAAGTATTACAAACAATTTTGTTCAAAACTCAGTAGTGAAAGCCACACTGCTGAAAATTACTTGGCAGCTTTTCTCAACATCCTAAGGAGACACCATCATATTTACATCTCTTTGTTAGAACTTAAGTGGCTGGTAAGTAAAATCAAGGAATTCTTGTGACAGGGAAAATCCGTATCGAAGGAGAAATTCAAGAATGAGATTTGTCCCTGGGAAACATCAAGGTTGGGATTTTCTTTCCTGTTTCGTAAGAACATAAGGAAATGAAAGAGCAAACATGTTTTTGTGTTTGAAAACAGACTGCAGCCTTCATCTGCCGAGAAGAGTTTGCTACAAGGGATTCTCTGTGCCCCTCTGCGAGGTACTGCCTTAACACCAAGTACATTTGTTTCTGACCACAGGCTGATTTCAGCCTCCAGAGAAGCACTGCACCCAGTGTCCTCCGCCTCTGCGTTTGGGAATGACCTCTCTCTAGTCCAGAAGGCAGACAAGATCTAGTGGAGTTCAGTTAGGCCACTGCCTCCTGGGAGGGGCCTTTTGCTTTCTTTTCAGCATCTCCCCCTAATGATCAAGGGCAGCTGAATGTCTCTGCTGAACTTGGCTTCACTGTGGCCTGAGCAATCTGTAAAGATTTTGCTGAAAATGGATTTGATTCCATTGAACAGATGAGAAACTCTACCTGTCGAGATTCCGACACAGTGGCTCCCGTGTCCTCAGCTCTTCTGCTTTCCACTCCAAGAGAGCTGACACCTTTCCCAACACACGGAAACACCTTCCTCATCAACTGATGCTCACCTTTGCCCCAGCACTCTCCAGTGGTTCGAATATTTTCAGTGGGCTCCTGGGGATTCAACCTATCAAAGAAAACATTTGGCACTTAATCGTAATAGCTTCCAGAGTTTTTGAGATTTACAACTTAAGAGAAGACCATCTTATTATCACTTATAATCCTGAAGTATTTCTGTAGCACCTCCAGACCACTGAACTTGAACCAGACCCAGCAGCATGATCCAGCTGTCAGCACCTTGAGGGCTGAAGCTCTTTGCTATTCTTTGGGGTTTCCCTGCCCTGGGGCTCCCTGGTCCTATGCAGTTATTTTTTGGCAAACACTGACAGCATCTGATTTAGGCCTGATATGATAAGTTGCACATTGGAGATACCTGGAAAGCTTTGTCTAGAAAATTCCTCAATGAAATCAGAATGCTAAGGAGCGGGGACCTGGCATCAGCACCTCTTGAATGTTCCAAGTGATTCTGGGAGGCAGAGCGCCCCTGGATGGGTTTTTTGTTTTTCTGTTTAACAGGAAGTAAAGTCACCCATTGAAAAATTGTGCCACTCCCCCTATTAGTAAATGTCCTTCAGACCATGTGCTTTGGCTTTAAGCCGCAATAATGGTTTATGTTCAAAGGTGATGATGCTAGCTAGCTCCGCCTCCGCCCTAACAAATGTGTTTAAGTGGGCCCTTTAATTCCTTTGTGGTCCTTCCCCTGCCTCCAGAGCAACTAAGTGCACGTTTCCACTCAACTCTAATATCCTTGGCGGGAACAGCACAGAAGAATCATTAAAAGGCGAGTTTACAATTCCTACTCAGACCTCAGCCTGGCCTCTCCAAACTAGCACAGAGTGGGCGCCAGTTCCTCGCAATGGAGGAGGTGTAACCATGGAAACGCTTCTCTCCACAGTGGAGCCAGATGCCAGTGAAGGCAGCCGTGCCTGGAGGCAGGATTTCCCCTCATAGGAGCATTATGCAAGGAAGGAAGCCCTGCTCAGTCCCAGGGAGCTTCTGAGTCAATTATGACAGCCCTCATGTGAGGCCAGGCATTTTGGTGCTGCTGCTGTTAGTACCAGATGGTGACACTCTGCGGCACAGAATTCAGGGTTAGCAAGAAATCCAATTTGATTCCCTAAGTGTTATTTCCATCCTCACTAAGATGCGTACCATCAAGCCCTGGGCTTGGCAAGAGCAGTATTTTCTGGGGATTTCTGCTTGGGTGTAAAAGCATTCTCCACACTTGCGGAAAATACACAGGAGAGCAGAATACGCAAGCACAGCAGGAACGTAGCCAGGCGGGCAGCCACATGCTGGAGACCAGCCTGAATGCTGGAGCCCAAAGGTTTTGCTGAAAGTTACAGGACTTGAGGGTGGCAGGAGACTACAGTGGGAGTAATGCATTTGGGGGTGGGTCATTGGGCATGTGGCACAATGAGCAACCCTGTCATTTTTATCCTGATAAATATTATTGCTGCAGGGAGAAGCGGAGCTGCTCCTGGTGCTGTGTGTGTGGAAGTGCTAAAGACCTCAGCTGGGCTGGGACTGAGTCTGGATGGAGGAAAATCATCCATGTCTGGAGATGGGCCCCTGGTAATTAAAAGGGTGTACAAAGGTAATGTCCGGAGAAGCTCAGCCAGCTTCCTCCTACCATTTCCACATGTCTCCATGAAAAATCAGTGCCTTCCATTGGAAATCAAACTTGATTTGATTTTGTTATTTTTATTTTATTTTATTTCACTTTACTTTATTTTATTTTAGTATTGGGGATGGAACCCAGAGACTTTACCACTGAGCTATATCCCCAGCCCTTTTTATTTTTCACATTGAGACAGGGTCTCACTAAGTTGCTGAGGCTGGCCTCGAACTTCAGATCCTCTTGCTGCAACCTCCTAAGTCAAGCATGCACCACTGTGTCTGGCTTCACACTCGTTTTAAAAATTCTAAAATGTTTTTAATGCTTTTGACATGTAGGGATTATTCTGGGTCAGCCATGTAGTTTTTTTATATATATTAAAACTCATGCTGTATCCATGTAACAGCCTGTCAGGTGACTAACAAGCTAAGTAACGCCATCAGACTCACCAGTCAGGAGTACTTAACACCTGCCAAGATCTCTCTAACTGAAAATACTAGACTGCAAGATGGGGACTGGGGTTGTGGCTCAGTG